TGGTACCGAGGATGACTCTTGGGTCACTCACCCTGGTACCGAGGATGACTCTTGGGTCACTCACCCTGGTACCGAGGACGACCCTTGGGTCACTCATCCTGGTACCGAGGATGACTCTTGGGTCACTCACCCTGGTACCGAGGATGACTCTTGGGTCACTCATCCTGGTACCGAGGACGACCCTTGGGTCACTCATCCTGGTACCGAGGACGACCCTTGGGTCACTCATCCTGGTACCGAGGACGACCCTTGGGTCACTCATCCTGGTACCGAGGACGACCCTTGGGTCACTCATCCTGGTACCGAGGACGACCCTTGGGTCACTCATCCTGGTACTGTGGCTTAAGAGGTTGTACATGTTGAACCCCAATGGTTACACACCTACTATCGTGCATGTGAGCATGGTATTCATTTACTTGGTACTCGTAACATGTAAATCTTCTTGCTTGTTATAAAATATAGTTGTTAACAAGTCATCTTTTAAAACCCCAAAATGATTAAAAAATAAAATTATAAATCATGTTTTTTGTCTTGAAAAATAATGATGATGCTTTTTTTACTATGTTGTATTACTAGTACCATCTTTTGTTTAAACCATGTGGCTGATATTGTTACTTACTTGGCTAGCACTGTACACAGTATCCTTTCAGCAGAAACTGAACAAATAATTTCCAGATGTTTTTATCTAGTACTGTATTAAATGTAGTACAATTGTAAATACTGTAAACCAATTAATTTTCACTGCTAGAAAAGATTGCAAATTCATTCATGAAGAATAAATTTTGCCAAAGTCACTGACACTCATAAAACCCCAGCAAAATTGTGACTACTGTAAAATACTTTATTTTCACTATTTTCGCTGAAGGAATGATTCAGTGAAAATAAAATGCAGCAAATATACTATTTCTTCCATATTTTAAATTCAACTCGTCAAACATCAGTGAAAATAAATTCCATACAAAACATCCAAAAAGTCTTTTCATGAAATAAAGTATTTGACAGTACTACAAAATTTTATTTGTCTCTTTTGAAATTAAAGAGGTTTACAGTATTAAATGCTATTGTGGGTCAATTTTGATGTGGTTTAAAGCCAAGAGAAAAATGTTTTTGGTCATTGCTCAAGTTAGTCACAACAGTGTTTTTTTCCTGACATTTAAAAAAAAAATTCTGATGAAAAATCAAAAAGCCTTATATTTAATGACAAAAAACGCATGATTTTGACAAAACAAATTGCCCAAAAATTTTTTTAGGGAAGGGAATTTTTGAACAGTATGAACATTCTCTGCATTTCTTACATTGCTCCCATCATAATAGATAATATACAGTCTTTGGAATCTAACAAGTATGACTAATGAAAGGGCAGTGGTTGTCACACTACGCTTGCACAACATACAAGTATGAACTGAGACATTAATGCGCTTTACCAATGTAATTTTTTGGTGATTGGAAAGTATCGAATGAGTAACCGATGGTAATTAGTGCATGACACGCCCAGATCAAAACTCATACTTTCATTAGAAGATCACATTGGATTGTCGGAAAATCAACACAAATGTCACACATACGCGGTGCGACGACCACTGCCCTCTGAAATATATCTTGTAATGCTACTTTGTAACTAATGTTAATTTGAAATGCTTACATGTATCAAGTTCACTGCCATCAATTTCTTGTAGATCTCTATTCTATCCTTATAATGTTGTGACACATGTACCAACTTTGGATCAAAATCAAATCATGTCAATAGTTGTATGAGCAGTTTGAATACAATAGGAGAATACTTTTGTAACAAATTTTTTGATTGAAAATTACTGGACATAATTGGGAGAAAGCAGTTGTACAATGTATGCTAATTTACTGTAGATTTAATGGTGCTTTATTTGGAAACAAATCAAATATACATGTATATAAAGCTTATGGTAATCCACATATCAACTGTTAAAGCCATATTATAAATGTAATGTAAAACTAAATTAGCTCAGTGTTTGAATCATAGCTGGCAATATTGTAGTAGACTTACTTCACCTTTAGTTGTTATATTAGCTACATTGTGAATCAACAAATATACAAAGTAGCTACATCAGCTACACTGTGAATTAGCTAAATTAGCTACACTGAATCAGTGAAAATATAAAGTAGCTACATCAGCTACACTGTCAATTACCCTGTAGCTAAATTAGCTACACTGAATTGGTGAAAACACAAAGTAGCTAAATTTTCTACACTGTAGCTTAATTATACTTGCTAAACCATTGTAGCTTTATTAGCTACACTGAATTAGATTGTATCTACTTTACAACATTCTTTCACTGCCAATGTTTTGAGTAGGATGTGTCAGTATGTATATTTTGTCAAGATGTACAGAATGCTCAACAGATCAGTGTTTGGTTTTTACTGCTTATAGATTGTGTCAGGCAGTCTGTGTGTGTATCTCTGAGACTTGGTCACATGACTGAGCAGAATAGCTGTCCAGAAAAACCGAAAACTGGCAGTTTTTTTTTAATTTCATTATGAATTGACTCAGAAGAGTTGTGATAAAGAGTCAAGTCTTTGTGAGGTTTTCATTGAAGGGATGTGAAAACCTGGTTCCACAACTTGCCTGAGTAGTTGAGATACACACCTCAGCTGACTTAAGTGTTATTGCTGCTTACATCAAATGTGAGTCACATGTCAACGCTTGGTTTCAGACCAATGCTGGTTAATAAAGTTAATGTTTTAATGACAAACTATTGAGTATATATATATCTTTATATGCACCATTCATAAAAAAAACGACATGATTTTTGAAGATTTCCCATAGCATAACTATCTACCTTCATAGTTTCACAAGCTGGTATGAAGATTGGTGATGTGATGTGATGTGATGTGATGTCATGGTAATGGTAGAACAGAATGTTATTTATGCTCTACACCTTTCTATATTGAATTAGGAGAATGTATAGTAAGATCATTACAAAGTTATCATTTAGTTTGGTACTAAATTCAAACAAGCAGATGAACAACAAATTTTACATTCTAGTAACATGTAAATAGTAGGTTGATCCAGATAAAAACACTCTTAGTCAAAAACTGCGTATGGTGTCTACTTTCATTGCATCTCTGACTAACTGCTTTACCTCGGAAAGTCGATGCAGAAGAGCGCCATCAGTGGTGACATAAAGAAGACCCAATTTTCACAGTTAAGTGAGATTTAATCAAAATGTGTACATTCAGAAAAATATTCACAAACAAGATTCTTCAATTAGCTACTGAAATGGAAGATTTATGTGTTGGGCCCACAAGTTATGCAAAATTTATAGTATGTTTTTCATGAAAATTTAATGTTTTCTTAAATCTATATCTTAGACATGGCTGGAGTGATTACGTTCAAACTTCACACATACAACATACATAAATATTATAAATGCGCACATCAATTTGTTTCACGATCTGATTCAAGATGACCAAATGGTGGCTGTTTTTGTGCTAAAAAATCAAGCATTTCTGGCATTCCAGAACTGGATCTCGGATGTTTACATTGGATGTTTTACATTGGACATTATGAGACCTTGATGCACATCATTTTATTTTTTAGATGGGATTTAAAATGGCTGACTGGCGGCCATTTTGTAGTAATGAATGCGATTCTAGTAGCATATTATGTTCAAATTTTATATATTCAAAGATATATGGATGTATTGGTTTGGCGATCCAATTTAAAATGGCCGACAAGTGGTTATTTTGTTTAAATTAATATTGTACATTCTCTCAATATGGACAAGTACTCGTTTGACAGTCAGATACAAGATGACTGAATGGCAATCATTTTAATATTAACAAGCCATGCATGGCACAGTCCCAGTTATCAAATTTAAGATGTATAGTTTTGTTTATAGTAATATAGCTGGAATATAACCATGTCAGGAATATGATTTTTTAACGTTAAAATGATTGACATTTGTATCTGATCGTCAAACAAGTACTTGTCCATATTGAGAGATATTGCTCTGGAACAGCATTCAAAATCAGCCATTTTGAATACATGTATATATATAACATGATGTATAACGAATATATAAAATTTGAATATAATCATTCAAAGCATTTAAGAGATATGGCTCTAGACTATAAACAAAACTATATATCTTAAATTTGATAACTAACAGGGACTGTGACTTGCATGACTTGTTAAAATTGGTGTTGTGGTACTAAAGAACAAAATAATGACGAATAAATTGGATCGCCCTTTCAATATTTTATTTGGGTTGTCAATGATAGAGCGCACTATTTATGTTGAATTCTTC